GGGGTCAGTGATGAAAAATTACCTATTGGGTACAATGTACACTATTCAAGTGGTGAGTACACTGAAAGCCCAGACTTCAGCACCACACAATATATCTAAGTAACAAAAATGCATTTGTACCCCCTAACTCTATAAAAACAAAAATTAAAAAATCCCTGACAATAGCCTTGTGGGGGTAAGCGGCAGAGGAGGAATAAAAGGGTGAAATGAATATCAAAGAGAAACTAATGAATAAAGAAATTAAACCTTGAAAATAGTTTCAGAAGAAACAATTGTCCACTAAAATTTTTTAATTTCCTTTCCAGTTATACAAAGGTGTGAATAATTAGAGAAGACATTCCTAGTACCTGTGCTTTTACAACCATATTTATTATGCAGTGTGGCAATGCAATCTTTCTCTCCACAACCTCCACCCCCAGAAAAAAAAAAAGTATGAGGAAAAGCGTATCACAAAACCCAATCAGAATTTGCCATCTGAAAAAAGCCATTTTGGAGAGACCTTAGCATTTCTGAAACCAGATTTTGAAATCCTTCTAGGGGCATTTATAAATGTCTACCTGCATTAGATTCACTGTATTAGATTTTGATACCATGCTGTTATAGTCATGCATCTCTTGTCGTGGTAACCTTTAAGAGTTAAATGTAACATCATTGCCAGAATTTACCTAGATTTGGCCGATCTTTGCAGAAATGCTTAAGTGAGGCCAATGCTTAAGTGAGGCCAATTAAGATCCCATCCTGTGCTACAGAACATCTTTCTAATGTTGCTTTCTTTTTGCTTGAACTTAAGACTTCCCTAGGATGTTTACCGTCTTTACTGCATTACCGTATGTACGGCTCACTTACTCCCTGCCCCGATATCACCTGCTAAGTGCAGGATCTATTTTAGTTTAAGAACTGAAGTATCCTGTCTTCTATTCTAAGCAGTACTCTAAAAAGACCCACATTTTACTTACACTTTGCATTCAAAAAATTTAGTAATAGTTACTTGCTGGATTTATGGGCCCTTTGTTTTCAATTGTCAAGACAAGAAAAACTTTTTTATTTACAAAGACTTCTTTCTTAATATCTTATTATAAAGCAAACCCGTACACTGATGTACGTCGAAGATACTGGAATGCCTATATGCTCTTCTACCAAAGGGTATCCGATCAAAACTCCCCAGTATTACCAAAGAAAAGTCGAGTCAGTGTTGTACGGCAGGAAGCTGAGGATCTCTCTCTGTAAGTGTTTCTTCCATATAATTCACTGTGTGATTCGCTAGATGATACCGTGATCTTTTGAGAATATACTATTTGGAATTTAAAGATAATTAGCTAAGCTAGACAGAAATTCTAAAAAGAGTTCCAAAAAGAAAATAAGTAAATGCCCTTTCTTTCTTACTTCTCCCTGGTCATTATTTCCTTGGCAAGAAGTTATTTTGTGTTTAGAAACGTGCATATAAGCTATTTCATTCTAGAATTAAGATTTTTCCAATTTAGAATTGAGATTTTTTTTTTAATGTTGGCAGCATTTATTGAATACACTTTATGTCCAAAGCATAGTACTGTACTAGCACTCAGAAAGTTGTTTTTTAAAGGTCCTGTTGTCAGTGAATTCACCTTTTAATATTTTGGATCAGGAAAGCATACAATTTGGTTTTTTCATGTGAGAAATGTGATTAAATATGGTTCATTAAATTTGAAAACTTGGTTCAATACTTTGTTGTTATAAGATTTTGAATGTGTGGATCTAACATCAGTTTATTTCACTGCTTTTTAATGGCTATACTGGCTGGAAAAGATACCTCACAGTAATATGCAAGAAGAAATCACTTTTGTGCTTGTTAAATTATGGTATTCAGTGTTAAATCCCATATACCAATTAAGTAAAAATTTATGTTAAAATTTCCCTATAATTTCTCATCTTTTATAATGTCAAGACTAATTGGAAGGTGTTAACATTTTTTAGTTGACACCTTATAATTGTACGTATTTATAGGGTACAGTTTTTAAGTCTAGTACCCTGTTTATATGAGTTTGGCAAGTTTTAATAACTACTAAACCAATAGCCAATTTATATTCGACAAAGTTTTCTGATTCTGTCTCTTAGGTCAGCTCCGTCTTCACCAGAAATTTCACCTCAGTCATCTCCTCGGCCCCATAGGCCTAACAATGACCGGCTCTCTATTCTAACCAAGCTGGTTAAAAAAGGTGAGAAGAAAGGACTATTTGTGGAGAAAATGCCTGTTCGAATATACCAGGTAAGAACCGTGTAAAAAATCCTAAGGGAGAAAATGAAGGTAGATGTCAAAATTTATCTTGTGGTTCCAGAAGTACTCCTCCGTGGTCTTCCAGATCAGCCGTACCTCTAGTGCCCTATCATCTATCATACCCACCCTGTCTCATGAATTTCTTATGCCAGGCTACAGAGCTGGCTATATAGCTAGTGCCAGAGTGCTAAAAACGTAAATATGAATACACATTCAGGATTGGCCAGCCCTGTCACTGACCTGCTGTGCGCTCATGTGATGTGGCAAATAAACCGAGTTGAGGGGAATAGGCAGTAAAGAAACTTACTTTATCTAGAGAGAAAAACAAATTAAGGCTCACAACCTAAGACTAATATGTCAGTGATGACCATTATTTATTGAATACCTACTTTGTGCTTCATGCTTTAAACAAATCTCTAGTTTTTAAAAGACTCTTGGAGTAGCAGGTTTTATTCCCATTTTTTAGATGGAAAAACTGAGGTTCAGATAAGGAGAAATGACCTGCCAGTGTCAAACAGCAAGGGTTTAAATCCAGAACTATCTACCCAGTCCCAACTTTATATACTAAATAATCAAAAGCTAAGTGGTTAGAAGCAGAGACTTTAAGAAAAGTATGTAGTCTTCCATTAAGGAAGAGAGAGAATTAAGCCACCTGATACAAGGGAAGCATGGAGTTGGTTGTACTTGGGAAAACCCTGTTTTCCCTTTCTACCCAAAATATCAGGTTAGAATTCACTTGTCCTTCACATGGTGATTTTCCTGAATTTCAAATGGTTTGGTTTAATAAATAATCTTTTTTATAGCATCTTATATTTGGAAGGAAGGTTTTTCTCTCTCCTTTTTTAAAAGTTCGAAGTTTAACATGTTAACTGCCCTGTGAGTTGTATTTAACTCATGCTAGTTTTGAGCCCAGGGCCTCATGAAGTAAAACCTGGACAAAACCCTACACTTCATTCGTGAAAATCTTACTTGTTGATGTTCTTATTGTTATAATTAATATTGACAAATCAATTCTAAAAACGTGGATTAAATGAGAAGTCAATAAATTTTGTTTTTCATTAAATTAGAAAGGATCATTTTGTTTTCAAAGTTTTTATTTTATTGTTACTATAAAACACCATGGCCCCAAGGAAAAAATTTTTTTCTAGTGTGGCAATGTGTTAAAAAAGGGAATTATAAACCCTATTTACCTAATTATATCACTGAACATGTCCTCCATGTATTGAATATTTCACCTTGTTTCTTTATTAATTGCTAATTTTCTTTTGTAGATGGTGAGAGATGAGAACCTCAAGTTTATGAAGAACAGAGATGTGTACAGTAGTGATTACTTCAGTTTTGTTTTGTCTTTAGCTTCATTGAATGCTGTAAGTAGCTAGTGGGACTGTTAGTAAAGAAATAAGGAAGGATTACAAGTTAAATATCTTTTAGCTAAAGCATTCAATGACTCATCCTCGCTCTCACTTGTTAGCCTTCAGATTAGATACAGAAGAAGTCTCCCATAAATGTGCCCTTACTGGGTGATACTAAACCGCAGGCAGCATTCAGAATGTATAATGTAGATAGTGAGTGGGTGTGGGTTTCCACATACTGGCTTTAAGTGCCCTTGTTTACATTTTTATGAAGAATCTAAGAGTAGCTATGAGGTTGAGTAGCTGTGAGATCATGTCAATGGATACAGGGCTTTGTGGAGATTAATTGTTCTTAATTTGTAATCAGATATTAGTAGACTCAAGATTGACTTCAAGTACTTTTTTTACTTGAGTACCATTATAATTATATAATGGTACTTATATTTTGGATTATAATTTGCCAATAAGGGAAAAAAATGTTCTTGGTCTCTTGATTTCTTAACACATCCCATGGTCTAAAGGCTGTATTTTGAGATGATTTCATAATAGAAATGAAGAGGATGTCTTCTCTTAGCCTTTTAAAAAATGTAAATGGAAATTTTTTCATAATGAACTGGTTAGATTTTTCTTCTTAATATTTAACTTTGTCATGTATCATTTTTCATTTCATAACAATATATAATAATCTATAAAACTTCTGTGAAAAATATCCTTTTTTTTCTCCCTGTCTCCTAGACTAAATTAAAGCACCCGTATTATCCCTGCATGGCAAAGGTGAGCTTACAGCTTGCTATTCAATTCCTTTTTCAAACTTACCTACGGACAAAGAAAAAACTCAGGTGAGAAGTGATATATTTTGATAGTCTGTTGTGACAAGAGACACTGGTTAATTCAATTAAAGTTGAATTTATAATTCCAAAATACTGTGAAAGCAGCTTCCTAATTTTCTCAGGTGACTAAGACATTATCTTTAGAGACGGCTAATCTAATGGCAAGGATAGAGAAATACCTGTGATGCATAAAGTCTGCATGTCTTTGGGAAGTGGGCAAAATTGTATCCAGATGTGGAGATCAGGGCAGGCTTTAAAGACATTGATGTTCTCAGAGGATTCTGAAAGGCAGGAATGGAGAAACACAGAGGAATAATCCTAAGCAGAGGGAAGAACCTGAGTAACAGATGAGACTTGCCTAAGGAACCAAGAACGACTAGTTGTGTTGTACTAGTACACGTAAGGGACTCATTTGAGCTGAGACCAAATGTTGGGTTTGGAACTCACTTAGTGCCCTGAATGCCAGAGCAGGGAGTTTGGGGTTTTTCATGTGAGATCAATGAAGGTTTTTGAACAGGGAAGTATGTTCAGAGTGATGTCTTAGAAACTCTAGACATCGACTACATTTGACTCATTATTGGTTTTTATCTTCAGCACCTGGGAAGGTGCCTGACACATTATAGGTTCTGGCTAAGTAGTTGTTCTGCGAATAAATGTAATAGATGCAGAGTCGTTGAGCAGTGGTTTGTAGAATATACCTAGAGTGAGGGGAGACTCTGGGTGCAGAGACTAGTTAGAGTTAGAAAATTGTTGAGCTCCTACAAGAATGAAGAGATTTGGGACAGATTTTGCAGTTAAGATGCTCTTGAGAAGAAAACAAATATAATGTCAACTTCATTTTTATGTGTGATAATCGAAGATATATTAACTGGTTTCAGTCTTTAGTATTTGAAAAGAAGAAATAATGTGTTCCCTTCTTTTAATACCTGGAGTAGGATTAGCTAAGGAAATTTAGTTGGTTACTTTGTGAAATTTGCCCATGCTATTTACACATTGCACACTGTTTCCATTTTGTTTATGCTTCACCATGCTGAGCACTGGGGGACTTAAGGGAAGTGGTGTGGCATTATGGGTATTATAGTCATTATACCTTTTTTTCTGCCTGAATATTTTTATTCAGTAAAGTAGGATATAAATGATTATTGTGATAAAGTATAAAAATGTCAGTGTAAGCTATTCTGAAAGTGGGCATTTTGTGAATGTAAATTAATTGAGCAAAACAAAATGCTACAGGTCAGGCCTTTTTTCCGATTGAAGTTGTTTGATGCAAATACAGAAGATAAGAGTTAAAATCTAAGACTAAGCTTCTTCACGTTTTTGTCAGGAGAGGGGAGGACGATTCATACCACAGGTAACAGAAGAATGCAAAATATTGGCTTCTGGGGTGCACTGAGCCACGTTAATGGGCAGTCGCTGAGTATGTCTTACCCCTCCACCGCACGCACCCTGGATGGATGGATGGATGGGTGGCTGGGTGGGTGGATGGATAGCAGTGGCACTCCATGGAGTCATTTGCTAGGCCATACTCCTAACATTGCTGTCTGCTTTTTTTAAAGGGCTGACACTGAAGAATGGATTGCTACTATTGAAGCATTACTTTCAAAAAGTTTCGACGCTTGTCAGTGGCTAGTTGAATATTTTATTAGTTCTGAAGGACGAGAATTGATAAAGTAAGTGTCAGGGTCTTTTAAGTAAGAGAAATTTGTGTCTCTGCCAATGATTTAGACCAGGAGTTTCTTATAGCCATTTTTATTTCAACTTAAAACTGTTTTTCTGATCAGAGTCAATTTTAAACTCTCTTCTGTGAAGTCAAGAGGAAATTATTCAGGTCACTCAGAAATCATCTCTGTTGCACTAGACTTGGGCACACGTTCAGTGGTTGCAAGAACATGCGAGGCAGCTCACCCACTGGGCGCTCACAGGCAGGGCCTAGACCCCAGCCGTGGCTCAGGGGAGTCAGGAATGCCAGTCCCTTCCCATAGGGACTCACAGTGTGGTGGCAAGAGGTTACTGCACAGTTCACAATGTCACCTATGTTTGGATTCTGGCTAAAAAATTATTTTTCACTAATCTACTGATAGTATATTAGCTATGATAGTATATTTACCTATGTACCTATCATTAAAAAAATTGCCTTCTCTGGTAAAAATTCAAAATACCCCAATCACCGTGAATGTTTACGCCTTACTTCCAGTCATCCTCACCAAGTCAGCTTCTCTTATCCTTGGGGCGTTCAGCATTCTTCCGGGAGGCCCAGTGAGCACTGCCTTGATTTTCAGCGTTTTGTCTCCTTTCTCCCCAGCAAGCTCTCCCTTCACTCTGCGTCAGCCATACCTTCTCCTCACCCCTCAGACCTCCCATGTCAGCTCACCCAAGTGACCTGGCCTCAGACTTCCCTGAGATAGGTACAGATTAATAAATGGGTACCCCCGGCCCCCAGCCCAGGGTCCACGTACCTACCAGAGTCTGGTCCCATCTTGCCCTTTCCTCCTGTTGTTACGGAGGAAAGTGTCCCCTCTTCTCTCGAAATGAGTCTCTCTACACATGCAGACTTTCTCCAGGAAGTTGGCCCTTTAATTATCTCACTCTTATTCCTCCATGATTACCTTGTAGACTTTTCTATCAGGTTACTTCTGTCAGCATACATATATGCTCTGGTATCTTTCAACTTAAAACGAACACACAGGGAATTCGGAAATGCGAGTCCCTTCCCACGAGACAGTCACAGTCTGGTGGTGAGTCAGAGATCTGATCAAACCCCTGGTCTTCTCCCCTCATCTCTGGGTCTGAGCTCCAGATGTTTACTTGCCGACTTCACGTCTCCACTTTTTCCTCCAGTCTCTCTTTCAGCAACAGAAGTGGTTTTTTTTTTTAAACAAATTAGGTCGCGTCACTTAGAGTTCTTCAGTGGATCCCTGTTGCACTCATAGTAAAATACAAAATCTTTACCATAACCCACAGAGCCTTACGTGATCTGGCCTTTGTCCTTCCAGACTCACGCTGTCTCGCTTCCTCCTCGCTTACCTGGCTGGAGCCATCCTGGCTTGCTGGTTCCTTGAATGTGCCAGGCTTGTTTTCCTGCCTAAAGATCCTGGCACCTGTTGTTCCTTCTATCTGGAACACTGTCCCCTCCCCTGTTTCCTAGTGAGCACCTTCTCCAGATGTCAGCTTAAACATCACTTATTCTGAGAGGCTGTTCCCAGTCACCCCGTCCAAAGGAGGTTTACTTGTGCATCTCCTCCACTGAACTCCATCCTCTTGAGGGCAGAAGCTGAGTCTGTTTGGTCCCCTCTGGTTTGCAAAGAGCCTGGTAAATAGTAAACACTCAGATATTTATTTGTGCGTGCATGCACATATCCATTTATCTTTGTATTCATGAAGAGAGAAGTAATAAACATTTCTTCGAAGTGTTGTATGCCTGTCCCTTTAGAGTTTGCATTAGAGATGACCTTTCACCCATTTTTCCAGTTCATTTCCAAAATCTTTTCCCAGTAGGACTCCCAAGTATTATGCTAGGCATTAGAGTGTCATAGAATCATCATCCATTTGGAAGGAACATAGCATATGTTTTGTTCATTCCCTATATCCAAGGAGGCTTGCTTTTAAATATCTCCAGAGAAATTCTGTAACTTCCTTTGGGAAAATGTTTTGATTTCTTAGTATTCCTAATGGTCAAGAATCCCAGTGAATTCATCTAAATTCTTCCTGATAGAGTTTATTATAGTTTGTTCTTTCTTTATGAAGACCAGTCACTCATCACTATCAATTGCTATAATTTCACATGTTTGAAGAATTAATCTTTTTTCTCTAATCACTTATTTCTTTAGAACCTTTAAGATATCTTAGATTGTCATTATTACAACTAAAAATATATATACTGCACTAATATTTTAGTAACTGTAAATGTGAAGAAGATACTGTATTTTAGATCAGCCCCTCAGTATAGTCCTTTTTTTAGACAATTTTAAAAATGCAATTATAATTGTAAAAAATTAAATCTTTAATATTGCTTACAAATTGATCCAAAGAATTCAGACTCCTAACATGAAGATACTTAACATCTTTTAGGAACCTTCATTGTGGAAAGTGTTAAACATACACGGAAGTAAACAAAAGGGACCCTCTCCTGTACGTGTTCCCCAGCTCAGGTTGTCGGTATTTTGCTAGTCTTGTTTTACCTGTCTCACACACACACTCACATGCATGCTCTTCTTTCCCTCTGAAGTATTTTAAAGTAAATTGCAGGCAACTAATTTCACTATAAATTTTCAACATGTATCTCTAACAGATTAAAGTTTAAAAAAATACACACTTTACCATTATCACACCAAACAAAATTGATAATTCCTTCATATCATCTTATACTTAGTCCATGTTCAGATTTCCCCCAGATGTCTCAGAAATGTCATTTTACCATTAAATTTGTACAAATTGGGATCCACCGAGGTCCACACATTGCCCTTGGTTTATATGTCTCTTAAGACTCCTTCAGTGTTCAATATTCAGTAGTTCCTTTAACCCACTACCCGCCTTTTTTTGAGCCATTTATCCTGGGAAGAGACTGGCCATTTGCCCTGTTGAGCTCCCCGTATTCTGGATCCTTGCATCCTCTTGATGCCCCTGACGTGCTGTGAGAGGAAACGTGCGGCACCCCTGTAGGTTGTCTTCCCAAAAGAATTGTACCCAAATCGGATGAAGCCTCTAGAGCTAGATGTTGTGGGAGTTCTTGTTATCTTTTTAAACTTATTTCTAGTTGTCACTTAGAATCTTACTGGACTTGGAGCATTGCCCTGTGTGTCTGTTTGAAATCAGGCAGCTGCTACATAGCATTCCCAGTTACAGGGAATGAGCAGGAATGCGGTGCCTCAGGAAGCTCTGCTTGGCCCACGAGCAAGTGCTAATGCTCTCGGAGTCTTGAATTAACATCTTTGAGTAATTTTGTTCCTTGCATATTAGGTGGGACCTGTGTGGGGAAGGTTGGGTTTACAGAAGTCTGACTTGCTTTTTCACACCACATTTCTCTTTCAGGATTTTCTTGTTGGAGTGCAATGTGAGAGAAGTACGAGTCGCCGTAGCCACCATTCTGGAGAAAACCCTAGACAGTGCCTTGTTCTATCAGGATAAGGTCGGTCTCATATTTAAATTTTTATTTATATATTCTGTTTTTACCAAATGTTTTAAATTGCAGGTAATAAGAAAGAGAGCCTAGGATTGGAGTCTGGTAATTTTGCCACATGAAATGCACCTTCTATGAACTGACTTTCTGGTACACGCCAGGGTAGAAGTCATTCTGTCCCTTCCTCCTCATGTCCCAGAAACCAGGATAGGCTAGGAATTTAGCTCTGCTTTGGTTTGCTTCAGGATTTTCTTTCTAGAACACTCCCTTTTTGGAGTCCTTTCTCAAGAATTTATATTAGATCTCTCTGAACTGAGACCAACGTGGGTCTAGAAATTCTAGTCTAGACCGACAGACATCTTGAGCCACCCCTGCTTTGTCTCTTTGCTCAGAAGCTATTTTCCTGATCTAAACCTGCAGATGGCAACCAAACCAAATAGTGCCGTTCATCCAGGGGCATTGGCCAAAAAATGAATGGTCCCTTCATGGGTCTCCGTTATTTCCTAATCTTTGTTCCTGTTTCTCTGAATTTCTTCTGGCCTTATTTTCTGCAACATATTTTCTGGTTCACAGCTCCACATATACACGTGGCAAAACAAACCTTGGTGTTCATTACCATCCTCAATCCCCAAAGATTTTAAGTCTTAGGGAAATAAATGACATACAGTGTAAATCTGATTATTCAATCTGTTATTAAGTCCTAGCAAATACAGCAGTTACTTCCCAAGTTTGCTGTTTCAAACAGCTGACACTACATGGAAAACTTTGAAAAATGTTGTTTTCAGAACAAATTGGCTCCTTATAAACATTGGCTGAAGGCAGTGTGTCTCAATAAACTAAATGCAAATTTTAGGAATTGCTGCTTCAAATTCAGATGCAGGCTTTGCTATGCAACCTTGAACAAGTCCTTTAAGGAGGATGTTGATCCAGCTACAGTGCCTGGCACCCAAGCACTTAGTTCCTCAAATAAGGTCATCAAATATGCTCTTTAGGAAGGTCTTAGAAAAAGACTATCTCTCGATTCCAGGAATTATTAGGAAGTTGAGGTTTACTCTAAGACAGTGGTTTTTGATCAGCTTAAATAGCCGAGCCATTTTTTAAACAAAACCTTACCTGGATGCAGAATATATAAAATAGGTCACTGGGAGCTGCCTAGGACAGTTTCAATAACATTGCTTCACCCCCTGTAGAAATTTCCTAAGCTGTATCATGAATCCTTAACATAAGGACCATCTCACGCTCCTCCTTCCTCCCATGTACCAGCTCAAACAAAGGATAAAGGCAGTGTTAGTGCAGTCCCCCAACAGCTAGAGTCAGGCCGTAGCGTATCACCCACCAGCCTCTAAAGGCAGGACACGGGTAGAGAGGGAAGGCATGGAGGATGTAAGCGTGGAAGCCATTTGCTCAGCATCTGTCTGATATCCAGCTGATGTGTTTTCATGTCTATTTCTCCTCCACAATGGAAACGGTGCCTCTTGCCACTCCCCCATATTGTAAAGTACTTTGAAAATGAAGTGCTATATAAACGCTAAATTTTTACTGTATTTATGATGGGTGTGACAGGATGGATGGGAATATTTCAAAAGTATGAATACCATCTTCAGAGGAAATGAACTAATAAGAATAGTAAGTAAGCCTGGTCTTAATTTTCAGATCACAGATGGATTTCTAGGGACTTGTCCAAAAACAGTTGGGGTGGGAGGGAAAGAAGAAGCAATGTCATAACCAAAACGGTTTCTAAACAAATAAAATGTTTTTCAAAGCTTTCCATGAGGCGTCAGCGGGCTCTCAAGTAAGTTCACGGCTAAGTGGATATCACCGTTGTCATTCTGTCAGGCTGTTGCTCTCCATCTGCTCCATCGGCTTGGTTTCTAGCCCCTATGCCTGTGTCTGTGTTTTTTATTCTTTGCATCTGTGATTATGTGAAGAAGCAGCATAGTGGAGGGCGGGATTCAGGAACATGTCTCCCCCACACCCCGCCTTTTTTTGAGACAGAAATTGGCTCTGGAGAAAATGTGACTGTTAGTAGAATCATGCCTTTGACTCTGAAATCTAGGAAACTAGGCTTTCCTTGTAATTACCGCTGCCAGCTCCAGTCTTTCCCTGGAAGGTAGAACTGAGGATTCTGGTTTTGCTCTCCAAAGCATAAGTCCCTCTGAATCTTGAGACTGGATTGTATCAGTCAGACTTTCCTTTTGTTCTTATGGCAGTTTACTTCAAATTAATCCTGTTACAAATGTCTGTCTTGTATTCTTTTTCTTTATGTAATTTTATCTTTTCTCTAACCAGTTAAAAAGCCTTCATCAGTTACTGGAGGTACTACTTGCTCTGTTGGATAAAGATGTCCCAGAAAATTGTAAAAACTGTGCTCAGTACTTTTTCCTGTTCAACACTTTTGTACAAAAGGTAAGTTATCTTTTTTGTAATATCTTTTCCTAATACAGCAGATTTATAGTCTAAAGAAATTTTATACATGGAAAAATTTTAGACTACATGGTATGGTTTTATGAGAATTTCTTCTTAAAAATCTTAATTTGAATTGTATTACTTGCTAGAATTCTGATACAGGTAGGTATAGATACTCATTGATAGCAGTAGAATACTTTTCATTAAAAGCAGTGTTAGTTGTTCAGTAGCCATTGTGAAGCAATGTGAGGCTCAAGAGTTTTTTAGTTAGATTTTAACAAGTACTTTCTGTATGTAAATTATAGCATTTAAAAATACGTTGACTCCTTAAAACATCTCATTTAGCTGTGTTTTTAAAACAGATTTTTGTCTGGATAGGAATATAATTTTTCATTCTCGATATTTTGTGACAGCAAGGTATCAGGGCTGGGGACCTTCTTCTGAGGCATTCAGCTCTGCGACACATGATCAGCTTTCTCCTCGGGGCTGGTCGGCAAAACAGTCAGGTAACACTGCTCACTTTGATATTCCTGGTAGAACGGTCGTGGGTTTTGTTGCCACTTTGTTTCTCTTTGTAGGTGATAAATATTTTTAATTTCATAAGAGTCCAGGTACTAGTGCACATAGACTTTAAAATTCTTTGGAGTTCAGTTATTTTTACAACTTCTTCATGGAATTTAGTGTCATAACCCATGGAAATGACTACTTAGAATATCAGTCAAAATGTGAAGTGTGAGTGTCACAGGAGGGAAAGATGGATTCTGATGGGAAATTTCACAAGCCTTCAAGGAACAGGTGGTATTGGGGTCCTCTGCTTCCTCTCTGGGGCTGTGAACAAGGCTATTTTGATAGTAACAGGTTGTTTTAAGTCCAATGCTGATAAAACAGCCAGAATTCAAATGTAAAGTACTGTTACAAACTGAATGATGTTGCACATATAGTATTATTCAAATGAAAGGAAAGTTGTTTTGTAATAGTAGGGTTGGATATATCCAAAAATGACTCTTCTGTTTGAAGTTCCTATATTGATGTGTCCCTCCCATCTGTTACATTTCTTTTGTTTGACAAATTTAAAATGCATAAAACGTTAACATGCAGTAATAAGTACTGTTTATGGAGCACTTATATGTACCAAATACAACTGGTCACTTTGTGGTGGTATACTTTTGATAGTCACAATTCAGTAAAAATTAGGCAATTTCATCCCCATTCTTCGGCAAGAATTAAAACACAGAGGTGTTAAGTAACTTGTTAAAGGTCACAAAGCTAACATACAGGTGGATCCGGTATTCAGACCCAGCTGTGCTGATTTCAAAGCCAGAGCCTTCCCCTGTATGTAATACATCACATGAGCAATTTTCCTTCCTTTGTTAAGGGAGGCAGACTTGCCACTTGGGCCTCTCAGCTTCCTCTTTAGTATTAAAAACCAAGTACTGACACTGTAACATGCTCTGGGTGTTGACACAGTATTGAGATTTATAATATTCCTTTTCCTCTATTAGCTCTTTCCCATCTGGGACTCCGCTGACACTCGCGATTGATTTAGATTTACTGTAATTCAGCTGCACATATTATCAATATTATTTTGCATTTATAGAGCAAACATTTGAAAACATTTTCACTTGTAATATTTTATTTGGTCCTCAAAATCACAAAGTAGAACAGATAGCCTTATCTTGGCCGTTATATGAAGAGGTCAGGTGGTGTTCGGGTAGAGAGCGTGCCCACATTTATACAGCCCAGTGAATGGCACAGGCAGGGCCAGACCTCCAGCCTCAGGGGTTCTCCTGGTATACTGAGGCACAGGAAGATTACCTGACACATCCTAAGCATTCAGTACCAAAGGTGAAAACATGAATGGATTGGTTTTAGAATATGAGTTAATATGTCTAGGGGGAAAACCCTTTTGAGCTGGCTTAAAACCTGTGACCTTTTTGTACTTTGACCTCTTCTACTATCAAGCATTGAGAAATAATTGAGGCCCAGAATATCATGAACCAGCACATCTTCTCCCATTTTGTGTTATTTCTAACCACAACAATAATGTCCACTTTGTCTTCTCTGATGACAGATACGTCGATGGAGTTCAGCACAAGCACGAGAATTTGGGAATCTTCACAATACAGTGGCATTACTTGTTTTGCATTCAGATGTCTCTTCCCAAAGGAACGTTGGTAAGCTTTAACAGCTTAAATACAACAGAAAAAGGAAGAGATTGAATTTGTCGAGCGTGGAGAGTAATAACGTTAGCAATTAAATGGATATTACCTGTTTCTCATTTGACTATTTGATAATTGAGGAGCACTTAAACTTTCTGTTTTAAATCATGTTAAGCTTCACCTTATCACAGGAGAAAGTGAGTCAATCATTTATTTGGGGAGGTGGGAGGATATATGAGTATTTTTTAAAAATACTAGGATTAAAGGCTAATTGAGAGTTCATTCATCACCAAAATTTGAATAATTAATATAGTGGGAAAATCAGCCAAGGTGTGGCTTGGAGTCTCCTACCTGTGTGAACTTTGACCAAGCCACCTGACTTTACCAATCCTTAATACAAAATAAAAATATTAAAAACATAATTCCCGGAGGGCAGCAGCAGGGTAAGTGTGACTACGGACGCTGCCCCAGGAGCGGAAGCTGTGCTATCCTATCCCCTCCTCTTACACTTCGCGTTGCAACCAATAAAGGCCATTTCTACTGTAAAAACAAAAAAAAACATAATTCCCCAGGTGTAATAAGGATTAATGAGATAAAATGTTGAAGTACTTTGTAAAACCAAAGGGGATTCAAACGTAAATTATGTCATTCAAATATATTTGAATATAAGGTATAGTTGGTAGCATTTCCTATTTTGTCACCCAGAACCAATAGCATAGTCATCATTTAGTATAACAGAGGCACAAGTTGTCCTATATGATTATCCAAAATCCTAACCTATGTGTGTACTGTGTTTTTATACTGCTTCTAGGCCTTGTCATGACAGTAACAACAATAGTAATAACACAAAGCAGCTGAAATGTATTCAGTGTTTTCTGTGTGCTGTGCCTTACATGGTGCTTTAAATGTATTGTGTTTAATCCCCACAGCAAACCTGTGAGGGTATTATCCGCTTCTATGGGCAAAGAAACTAAGATACGGAGAGGTTTAGTCACTTCACAGGTCTCCACGCTAGTTGGTGGCAGAGCAGCCAGGATATGAATGCAAACTCTGACCCCTGGGGCTGCGGTAGGTGGTGCTTTAGTGTCCCCTGGCTAGGAAGATCTAAAGGCAGGACATGGGATAAGTATCACAGGCCGTGATTCTGAGAGAGAAATGCTTATTGATTCTCTAAAGGGATGCTGGAGGAACACAAGGACATGGTTGTAAGTAGAGTTCGCTTACTAAACTCTGACTCTTTCATCTAGAAAGACAAAGCTACCTCATTTCATGAGTTCACACTGTTTTATAAAAGAAAATTAAAGTATGCATTCTTGTTTTTCTAGCAAATGAGGTGACCGCTTCCATATGGATTGATTTTACTTAGCACAGGTGGTATTGGCCATTATTTGAGGACAGTTGCTTGAGGAACAAAAGTGTCTTATCCACTGTATCTTCAGTGGCAGCCTTGGGCACTTTTTCGTATACTATCTACATTTTACCTTTTTGAAAGATTATCTTGAGTGGAGTTACTGGGAGTCCACAGCTACACTGTAGGCATACACTGAAGGAGGTGGGCAAACGTTTTCTCTCATCTGCATGACTGGCTTCCCTGCTATGCTAGACCGTGAGGGACCAGCTTGTAAGTTCTGAGCAATTGTGTGTGAATCTTGAGAGAGTCACGTTACCTTATGCCTGTCTGTTTTGTGGAATAACACCAAGTGAGACAGATTTTGTTTTGTGCTTTGCTTCTTTGATCTCCTAAAGCTCCTGGCATATTTAAACAACGACCACCTGTTAGCGTTGCTCCCTCGAGCCCTCTGCTGCCCCTGCATGAGGAAGTGGAAGCCTTGCTGTTTCTGTCTGAGGGGAAACCTTACCTGTTAGAGGTATGTACTTGTTACTCTAAAGCCATTTTCTTTTTATTTTAGTTATTTCTCCTATTTAAGGAAAAGCGCCTTTTTTTTTAGTTACATTTTGCATATTGCTCTGATGAAGAGGAGTATTGTTAAGAGAAGAAATAATTCTTTCAAACTGATTTTTCTTCCTGTGTATAAGTCAAAAATAAATAATTAGTAGAAGAGAATATATTAGTCCTCTTTTCTGCCAAGAAGTGGCCCTCTAGGCCCAGCCCAGCCAGCCACCCTCCCATGCCCCAGGGAAGTAGATAGCGCTTCACCAATCAGAATCATGCAGTTTGTCAGAGAGGGCTTCCCCCTCCATCTCTTGTGTATCCCTGGTCCTGGAATGCTATAACTCGGAACCTCGGGTGTTTGGAATTGGGCTGCCCCATCCGAGCCGCCTCTTCCACCCAGAGATGCCTCTCCTGCGGACTTAATCTTCCAACTCTTCTTACACGACCTGATTTATACACATGTGAGTCCATGATTAGTATGCATTCTGGTTTTTAAAATCACAGCAACAGTGCTGTGCTACATCTCTCTCTCTCTCTCTCTGTCTCTCTCTTTTTTTTTTTAGATTAATATTATTTTTTGGATCCATCAGTGATTAATTTGAGGAGAGAGCATTTGCCTTTGAAAATCTGATGAGAGTGACTCACTCTCTCCCGAACAAAAGTGTACACTTGCACAAAATTGTGTAAATTTTCAGACAGGCTCAGATACCTTGAAATCTATCTGTAGACTTCTAGTTAAGAAACCCTGTTTTGATTCAGTGTTGATCATCTTAATTCTGAGTAAATTTCATTAAAGTCAGGAACAGCAGATTCGTTGTTAACTGTGGTATAAGAAGAGCTTACCTCTGTTACTTCCTCCCACCAGGTGATGTTTGCTCTGCGAGAGCTGACGGGCTCACTCCTGGCGCTCATGGAGATGGTCGTGTACTGCTGCTTCTGCAATGAGCATTTTTCTTTCACTATGCTGCATTTTATTAAGGTAGGACGTGAGTTAAACCTAGCAGTAGCCAGATGGCCGTTGGTTGAGGCTCCAGAAGAGGATTCCTTTGCTCCAGGCAGTATGCTGCTTTTAGTAGCCTAAATTGTTTTTTCTAATCATAAAAATAGTCTAGGCTTATTTTTATTAGTTTTTAATTACATAGATAATATACTACTACATTCTCTTTGTGAAAAATTTAAGCATACAAATGAGGCTAAAGTCTTCTTTGACCACCACCAGTCCTCCTTGTCCCCTCCCCTCCCCCTACCCCAAGGGCCAGTACCATCACGTTGGCATGTTTCCTTCCAGGCTTCTTGGTGTGAATTTACACTACACATACCAGTTTCTGCCCACAGAATTTCTACATATCTTCCTGCCTGCACCAGTATTTACAACAGTGATGTTGACAAGAAGCAGGTTGTTAGTGGATTATGTCTTTAGGCTCTTACTACCATGTGTTTTGCCCTCAGCCTTTTTTGTACAGACCTATATCAGAAATGATTAAGTTCCTGTCTTTGCTATTTATTAACTATATGACCTGGGGCAGTTTCCTCCTCTGCAAAATGGGAAGAAATGTGACTGACTTCACCGGTTGTGAGGATTTAGTGAGCACCTGACACCTTGGGAGTAGGATATTATAACACAGTATCCTTTTCTACCCTTATATATGTATGAATTTATTAAATTGTCCAAAGAAACATGAGTTTTATGAACCTTGCTTTCTTCACTTAGTGTATCGTGGCAGATTGTTCTGTTTCATAAGCTGACTTTTTTATATACTTCACTCGTAGCATACTTACCTCAGAGCATTCTCGTAGCTATACCATCATATTCTGGAAAACAAAATAGGATATATACATACATAAATTCAGGTCTGTTTAGTGACTTACCCTCTCCCCTTTCCCTTCATCCTCTCTCCTCCTTCCTAATTTAATAGTAAAGTATCACAGAGTGTTACAGCTGGAAGGACCTTAGAGGTTGTTTATTTTAGTTCCCAGATTTAGCACTTGGGGAAACTGAGGCCCAGAGAGGGGAACTGACTGGCCCAGGGTCCAGTTAGTGGTAGAACTAGTACTTGGTTCCAGTGCGTTGATTGCCACTCCAATGCGCATTCACTGAAATTTTTATACTTTTAAAAAATATTTCAGAACCAGCTAGAAACGGCTCCACCCCATGAGTTAAAGAATACATTCCAACTACTGCATGAGATATTGGTAAGTCATAAATGTTCTGATTCGCTTGTATTTAGGTATTTATTAGTCAGCATGTATTTGTAAATAAAAACTTGTATGTCCTTTTATTGTTTTTCCCCTTCATTTGGTCTGCATTTATCAAGCCCTATTCCTGTCAGTCATGTGCTTCATGCATTACTGATTTAGAGGTGAGCAGTTACCAAGCTCTACCTCTTTGAACTCGGTTACGTGCGGGAGCTGGACAGGTACACGGCGGTTACAGTGCACAGAGCAAAGGGGAGTAGCGGAGATGGGTAACCCTTACTGAGGCCTTACAACAGGTAAGGCACCGTGCTAAGCACAAATGTTGCCCTGTGTAAACCTCATGATTACCCACAGAGGTAAGTTGCTGGCTTTACAGTTTATCAAATCTTAGACACAACTGATTGTATATGTGCTACTAAAAATATTTTTAAGAGTCAGGAAACTGAAATGTAATCGATCATAGGATGCTTTCCAATTTTGGAAATATGAAAAGCAGGAAAAACATTCAGTTATAATCAGCTATATTATTGGAAACTGAGGTTTAGAAAGGTGGAGTGTTTCGCCCAGGGCCACCCTTGGCAGGTCGAAGATGTGTGGCAGAGTCAGGATCCGAGCCAAGAGACTGGCCCCAGAGCCTGTGCTCTCTCCCAAACCCTGAGGAGCTCGGTGAATTGCAAGTAAGTGGCATGACTAGAAGAAGGAGGGAGAACTGAGTAGAGCTTGGGGAAAAAGCCCAAGCTTTGTCATGAAAAGCTTTGGGTACCCGTGCTAAGGCATGTGGGCTTTTTCCTGCAGGCCAGTGGTTATGAGCTAAGGAGAGAGACACCCTAAGCTAGTCTCTCACCCTAAAGAGAGGGAGGGACTGTATCCCTTAAAGAGTGGGGGGCTTCTTAGAGAGAGGGACTGTGTTCCCTTTAGGTCCCTAATACTTAATATAGGTCTTGGCACAGAGTGGCCATTCAATAAAGGGTTTTGAATAAGAAAAATAACATCTTGGGTACCATTTGTTAAAATCATATTTTTCTGGTCCTTTACCTGCTTTTGGTGTTTTTACAAACTTGGGAAGATTGTTGCTTCTCAAGAGTAGGACTGTGTATAGTTCATCTGATCAACAAAAAACCCATGTAGTTACTACCCTGTGCGCAGTTCAGAACTGGAAATATAGTAACAAGTGAGACCCACATTCAGCCCTATATAGCATGGCAGAAACGTTCACTTCACTTTTTAGAGCCTGTATAATAACAAAACGTCAACACATTTTTAGTAAACAAGTTAGAGCATAAACCTCTAATCCACAGAGAACTGTAGATATAGTTGGTCAGAACATACGGATAGAAAATGAATGGGTCTTTAAATATTATTTAATAGTTTTTCTTCTTAGTTTAAAATTTAAGATATGTTTGCGATATATGGTGATGACATAATATTTGTTTATATTGGGTTTTGTTAGGTCAGAAACCAATTTCTTGAATTATAAAGAAGGCACCAGTGGCTATGACACAAGGTTCTTCTTTCATTCACCAACCTTTATTTCCTTCCTTTCACAGGTCATTGAAGATCCCATACAAGGAGAGCGAGTCAAATTTGTGTTTGAGACAGAAAATGGATTACTAGGCAAGTACGCCTGGCCTGTGAGCAAATGTCTGCAGTAAATATGTAGATCACCGATTGTTCTGGCCGGTTCTGCCTCCTGCTGCTCTCCCTGGCTTAGATCAGTGACACGTTAGACGTCTGGTCAGGGCCACTGGGTTCCCTCGTTCTAGTTGGGAGAATTAAAACCCAAGGGTCTTACCACCCTAGACACTCTCACACCTTCAGTAAAGTGCGGCTCGAGGTCCTTTTCCCAGCTCAGGTGAGAGTCAAGGTGTTACGGTTACGAGCTGAAGGCCGCTCTCTGGTGGGGGAGACCTTTCATTCCACACCCCAGCCACTGGGGGGAAAAACACTAAAACCTCAGACTCGGGATGTTGTCCAGCTCATGGGATGTGATTGTCTTTTTTCCTATGATGTGAATGTAACCAGATTTCCCTTGTAAACTCATAGATGTTTTCTGTCAAGGATTTCTTTTTCAGAAGGCTACATTGGCTTTAATGAGCTATTTATTAGAAAAAGTTTAGTTAAAAATAGTGTTATTCACCTTCCACCACACACTTATATTTCCAGTTAATCTGAGTCATTTTAGATTTTGCTATATATTAAGAGGAAATTTGGGGTCTCCTGTTATTGCAGAAAGGAGATTTCAGCTAAGAAGTTTAGAAGCTACAGCTTTCCAGGGCAGCCCTTTGGAACAGTGTACTCTAGTCAGAGCGGTACCCAGGCTCTCTGTAACCTAAAAACTATAAACTCCTTAGGAGCAGGACCAAGTATTATTTATTTTTAAACCCCTGAAACACAGAGCAGGAAATATTTGTTGAACTAAATTAGTATAAATTTCCATTTATCGAACTAAAAGTGTTATAACTACTCTTTTCTCAGTAGTATGGTGTGTAGAAAAGTCTCTGGGTGAATAATCAGCCAGTGTAAATTTTAATTCCTTTCAGTTCTTCTGAAAGTCAAACTTTCACCACCGTGTATGTGTTTTGGTCCTATTTAAAGTAGTGTTTCTACCCATTAGAATTTGGGGGAGTCTGTTGAGTCAGGTAGCACCACTCTTTTTAGGTAAGTTGTTCCTCACCTGCTTATCAAAATTGTTTGTCAGTTTTTGGAACAAGAGACCTGTGATTACTTGGACCCACTTCTAGCTTAGTCCTTTACTCTTAAAATGTCCTCTTCTTTTCCTTCAGCTTTGATGCACCACAGTAATCATGTGGATAGCAGTCGCTGCTACCAGTGTGTCAAATTTCTTGTAACCCTTGCTCAAAAGTAAGTATAGATTTAAAATGCAGAGAGGAAATGTTGTTTTAATTACCAGTCAAATACGATCAGAAAAAAAAAAAATCTGCCCTTATTTTGTTACCTAGAGAATCTGACTCAGAGAATGCTTGCTTGGAAGGTATAGAAACCTATTTAAATGATACTTTAAAAAAAAATGTGAACAGGGAGTATTAAAAGAGTAGCAGATCTTACGGAATCCAAAAAACAAAAAAGCTAAACCACCAGGCCTTATTAGTCATATGTGATGGGTGGTTTCAGTGACATGCCCAGAATCATAGAGCTAAGATAAGACTTGAACACAAGTCGATTGACTTTAAAGTGAAAGTGCTTTATTTTTAATTGTGGTAAAATATACATAACATAAAATTTGCTATTTTAACCATTTATAAGTATACAGTTCAGTGGCATTAAGCATATTCACATTGTTGTGCCACCATTACCGCCATCCATCTCCAGAACTCTTTTTCATCTTCCAAAACTGAAACTCTGTACCTATTAAATACTAACTGCCCATTTCTCCCTTCCCCCAGCCCCTGGCAACCACCATTCTAATTTCTATCTCCATGAATTTGACTATACTGGGTACCTCATATAAGTAGAATCATACAGTATTTGTCTTTTTGTGTCTGGCCTTGTGTCTTCAAGGTTCATCCATGTTGTAGCATGTGTCAGTTTCCTTTTTTAAGACTCAATAATATATTGTATGTATATTCCCCATTTTGTTTATCCATCTGTCTGTTGATGGGCATTTGGAAAGCAAAATTTCTTGATGTTAGAAGAAACCTTAGTGATTTGCCAGTTTAACTGCCTTGTGCAGTACACGGGCAAACGATAGATCAGAGTGACAGTGTAATGCCCAAGGTTCTTGAGCAGACTACACTGCCGTCACTGAGTCTTGCACCGTGCCTTCTTTACAGCTTCATTTATTTTGCTCCAGATTTTTGCTGATTCCTAGGCACAGGATTGCTGTCCCTGGACTTGTACCATAATAAGAATGAGGAATCTCTTGGGCTTGATCTGCTCCATTTGAGCTTCCTAAACAGATACAAATTAGAGCCCAATTGAAATAATACGTGAACATGCATTTCCCAGATAACATAGTATTGTGGACACAGATGGATGTTGTCCCACCACGATTGTGAGTTCAGTAATGACCCTTGATATTGGCAGCAGGTCATCATAAATATTTGCCTAAGAGTGGCATTTCCAAATAGTGCTGGGGCCACGTGATATGTCTGAAGCCAGCAGATGCTCTGTCCAGACACCAGTGTGTTCATACTTCTGCATCCTTCACACATCCATTGACATACACATTAGTGGCAATATCACCTTCAGTCCTATCTTCAAATGTGAAGGACAGCTTGCTACGTAGCCAAATAAAAATGGAAAGAGAGAGGAGGCTCCAAGACCATGCTTTAAAACTGTTTTTCCCATAATCTCATTTTTTTATTCAAATCACTAAAATTAAAGACTAATTTGATTATATCAAGAGGTCATTATTAAATGTACAATTCATTATGGATTTTTGTTACATTTTTTAATTTCTAACTTGGAATAGAACTGAGTGGTTGAGAGACTCTGCACTACACATTTACCTTGTTCTACTGCCTTTTGAAGTTGAAAACATGAATGTATTACTTATCCAAACAAAAAGAGAGTAAAAATTTAATGTAAAGCCAACTGAATTTTAATGAAAATAGCATTTGTGTTTCAAACTAAAAAGGTACTGTAGATTAAACAAGTATATTTGCAAAGAAAGCATTTGGCTATTAAAAATCTCCTCAATCACCAGGTGCCCTGCTGCTAAAGAGTATTTCAAGGAGAATTCCCATCACTGGAGCTGGGCTGTACAGTGGCTGCAGAAAAAGGTAATTGAACTTTGAATTTTTCTAGCTATACTATAGGAATCAGTAACAGCCCATCTCATCAGGAAGTATCTCTTAAACCTAATTTGGAGACTGACCTCAAGGTATTTTCAGACTTCAAACATTTCTTTGGTACAGTTGATACCTGCTTGTATGCATTAAATTTGTGTTTTCATACACGTGTCTTAACTTTGCAGGTGAAAAGGTAGGGATGATTATATAAGAAGGTGTATTTGACTGAGGTCTTAAGAGTGGAATTGAAATCTTCCATGAACCTCCTAATGTGATAGAAGGCCTGGGTAGACTCACATCCTGTTTTGGTTGCATTTTAGACACTAATGTCTAATGGTAGAAACTGTGGGCTCACAGGGGCTCATTTGTGACTCTGACATTTTTGACTTTTCATTTCAGATGTCAGAACATTATTGGACACCACAGAGTAATGTCTCTAACGAAACATCAACTGGAAAGACCTTTCAGCGAACCATTTCCGCTCAGGTGAGGGTTGTCTTTTGTTTCTGTGTGGTTCGGAACCTCTGATGGAGCATTCTCAGTGTGTTTCTCAGAAACTGCAGCCGCAGAGAAGAGAGGTATGGGTTGAAAATGAGAACAAGCAGAAGAAATGATTGAATTCCTGTGAAAAGACAACAGATTGGTGCGCACTTAGGCACAGCTGTGCAGATTGTTTGCCTAGTAGCAAAGTGGCGCAGGTTGGTTGGGCCAGTCGCAGCGGGGATGGAGGTTGAGCAGGGTTCTCTGGTGGCCACGATGCAGGTCGCACTCTCAGGCTCCCCGTGCCACCAGAGGTCAAATGAGGGGGGTCTTCCCTGGTGGTTGCTGCTGCCACTGAACAGCCCCTAACTTTTCCTTCTTATGTTTAAATCTCCTGCAGGACACGTTAGCATATGCCACAGCTCTGTTGAATGAAAAAGAGCAATCAGGAAGCAGCAACGGGTCAGAGAGCAGTCCTGCCAATGAGAATGGAGAGAGGCACCTACAGCAGGTATAATGGTAGGGCATGTCCCCATGTGAAAGGGTGACCCTGCTCTTAAGCTTTCCAAAAAGAGTTTCCGGAATCAAGGAAAAAAGATGCCTCCTCTCCATCGTGAGTCTAAAGAGACACCAGCTCCACCATCGAAGGGATCTCAGTTTGGAACTCACTCACAGTGTGCTCGCAGAGCTGAGCGGTGCTGCAATGTGAAATTAATACACAGTTTTGAGGCGTCTGTGGCTGGCCACTCACTCAGCCTGGGGACAGTCCTGATGAAGCCAGGCCGCTGATGTGTTTGTTCCTGCTTGTTCACTGCATTCCGCCAGGTTACTAAAAAATCCCTCTTCTGCTTTCACCAGCCTTCCTGGAAATACAGACCCTTGAAGGGAAAGGCCTCGTGCTATTCATGGTATTGACCTACTGGCCAGGGGTCAAAGGATAACTTTAAGCTTATTAAATATATATACATATATATTATATATTTTTTCGGTACTGATCACTATAGTAGAAAAAGAAAAGAAATATTTATTGAACATGTACTACGTGTGAAATACTGAAGCAAGCATCAGTGTAGTTATGTTATTGCATCTTCTCCACTGGTCTGTGCCCCTCCATAGCTTTGGTCTCCTCTGTAGGCCTGTCTCAGTGCTTGGCACAGACCAGGCCCCAGTTAAGCGAACATGGCTGATGTTATGTCATTTTTTTTCAGTGTTATCTTTCAGATCCTCATAAACAACCATGTTAGGTAGCTATTACCGTGGTTTTACAGGAGGGTAACTGAAGCTCAGCACAGTGACACGACTTAACCCAAGGTCACTCTTGCAGTTTACCTCATCACCTACTTCATTTGCAGAGAAAACAAAAGCTATCAGGCAGGAGCTCCTGCAGCTGCTGGTTCTGGAACTTACAGCCCCCTGCCTCTGTGCTGCCTGGTCTCCTTCCCTGTGACGGTGGAGGAAGTTTGCCTCCCCTCCCATCTGGGGGCGCAGAGAGAGAGAATGTGGTGTGTGTGTGTCTGTGTGTCTTTGGTATATTGAATTCCCCGTCTCTGCCAGATCCTTCCCGGGGCTGTCTCAGCACACTAGTTTTCTCTCCTCTTTTCCCCTGCCTTCTTTCCTCTTCTTCACAGCCAAACTTCTCCAAAGAATCATCTAAACTTACCTATCCCCATTTTCTTCTCTCTCGCTCACTCTTTAGCCTCTTTCCTCCCAACCCCTCCTGCTCTCCCCCTCAGCAGTTGGGGTGGAAGGTGGCCCCCAGTTTTCAGTGCTCATCTTAGTGGGCTGCCCTGAGTTCCAGACATGGACATCCAGCTCTCTTGTTCTTGATGTCTCAGCTCGATTTATCTCAAAGACCCCTCAAACTCAACATGCCCTACTCCTCCTCTCTGCCCCCTCCGAAGCTAGTCCTCGTCAGTGTGCCTACGTCACACACGGCACCCTGCGCACCAGGATTGGGCCAGATGCCTCAATGCCATCCGGATATGCTGTGCTCAGAGGACCTTTCAAACAGCGCCGTCCATCTCTGCCGTCTGCCCTCACCCCTTGTCTCCTGGGTCTGGTCCTCCATTCTTGCTTCTCTCTCATTCACTTGCTGAAACCTGTCAGTCACTGGCTGTCCTCTGCTGTGGGAGAGAGGCTGCAATCCTGCTTGATTTGGCCTCTGTATTACCCCCCCCCCATTTTCTGAATTTTAGTTCATTCAAGTGTACTTTGTTCCTTCCACCGCATGCCCCTCCCTTTCTCCACCTGACTCCCGCTCTGCTCACGCGTCACTTCCGCAGTGTGGCTGCTCCTCCCTCACCCCACCGCCAGCCAGGTCAGTCCCAAGCTCCTGGTAGGGATTCAGAACTGTTACGTGCCTAAACCAAAGGCCACACAGTTGGTGACACAGGCAGCGTTCAGACCCAAGAACGACCCTGGCTGTGGCAGGCGCGGTCGGGGAGACGAGCGCAGTGCCCGCACACAGTGGACATCGGTGGCCCAGTCCCTCTCTCTGCTTTACTCCATGGGCCACGCTGGGTTCTGACTTTGGTGCGGAGTAGCGTCGTCACTTCAGGCAAGTCACGGGGTGTTTCAGTGACGAAATGAGATCACAGACATGAAAGTGTTTTGCATAATCATGAATTGTCAGATATAAGGGGTAGTAGTTTTCACTATGCTTTATTACCCTTTAATAGACATTGAATTAAGTTGCTGGTTGAAGATATGTTTATATTACAGAACACAAGTCAGTTGGCCTAGAAAACTTTTTTCCCCTCACTTTAACCATATGAACTTTAACTTCCTTTCCTTTTTCACAGGGTTCAGAATCTCCCATGGTGATTGGTGAGTTGAGAAGTGACCTTGACGATGTTGATCCTTAGAGGAACATGTCCAGCCCAACAAGGAGTCAGGCCACAATACTGGATGCTCGGCACCTTTTGAAACCAGAATTTCGTCCTTGGACCCTTTGCAAGAGCCTGGAGACCGGACTGGGAGAGCCGCCATGACTCGGGAGCATCGTGTGTCTTTCAAGGAACGCGTTCTTTGGGCCCTGGAAGGCTGGGAGCTGTTTGGCAGTGGGAGCACTCGGCATGCGGATCGCTGTCCCAGGAGCACGGTCCACGTGTGTGTTCACGTTGTGAAGATTTTAGGAAATAAAGCCCGCGTCAGACTTTTTTGTTACATGAACCTGCAAGAGTGAGCGTAAAGCTGTTGCTTTCTCTATGATGCTACAAAAGAAATTCCTTTGGTTTTTATATTTTAAGGAAAAAAAAAGCAAGCTGCCTGTAGATATGTGGGGGCAAAATTTTTAATCTTGCGGCAGCGTTGAATAGAAATATCCAATTTAAAATGATGTAAAGATACGTGATAAAATTTCTTTTCATTGTAAAATAGTAGTTAATTCAGTTTACACAGACCTTTGTATTTAATATGTCTCCCTGTTTGTTTAGAACAGATGGATCTGAACGAGAGCCCTGGGCATAAGCTTGAATCTTGATGAAATGTTACCAGGATCAAAAATTGGGAAATTATTAAGCTCTTTAAAGTATTTTTTGATAGAACTGAGAATGAAAAGAGCAAAAAAAAAAAAGTTTAAAAATGCTGTGTTTTCCAAAAGTACAGGGTGCATTCTTTGACATCAATCACTAAAGAAGTCATGAGTTGTTCCCAAAACAAATTTTAAAAACAGCACTTTAAGATATAATTTTATTGAGTTTGACTTCATAAAATTATCTGTTTAATGGTTGGAGACATATTGAATAAATCGTAGTCTTAAATCATGTGATCTGCAATCATTTGCTTTTGCTTAAAACGTAATTACTGAAATCCCTTGGTATTGGTTGTATGTGTAGTTGAGTATTTGAGTTGGGAGACACTGCTTGTGAGTTTCATAGTGATTTTAATGCAGAGGAAGAATTTGAGACTGTTTCTCCTCAACATGACTAGTTAACACTGAAAAGACAGGCAAGGTTTAAGATTTATTTTCCCACAAATAACTAGAAAGCGATTGACCAACCATCCATTTAGTTGTATTTGCCAAGTATAGCACCATTCACTCATTTCAGGTTAGATACCAGTTCCCTTTCGGGGAGGGGGGCAGGGGGGGCTTACACCAACCTGTTTCATATATATTTTGTACATTTTGTATTTTGAATTGTTCACACACATTTTCAGCCCTGTTTTGCCTTCAGTTACATGTTCTGCCTTATTTTCATCTCACCATGCACAGAACTAGGAGCCTTAGGAAGTGCCAGGTTGCCACCGTCACACTTGCCAAGTCAAAGAGGCGCGGCCAGCCCCAAAGTGCCTTCTGGCTGTTTGGGCATTTTGTGTGGGCACGTGGCCGGGCAGACAGCTCTCGTCGCTGTGCTCCTTCAGTGGCCTGGTCATTTCACTCTCTGGCAGCGGGAATGTCTGTGCGGTCAGGCTTCACTTCGTCACCTTGTGACTTGCTGCAGGCTCCTGATGAGAAGACGGAAAGGCCGGCACTTAAGAGCAGAACCGTGCCCTGGGAGAACAGACAGAAGCGAGTGGCAAACTTTAGATGGTCCGATGTTCTTGCAGTTTGGAATGTGCTGTTCTTACGTCGATTTTGCATTCGTGAATACTCCTTGACCTACTGTTTCCCCGACCCCCTTCTCACCTCTCCACCCCCATCCTTTCCCAGAGATGGTGTGGGGCATGACACTGACACGCTGGCGATGATCCACGCTGGGAAGTCATCGCTGGCAGCTGCACTCTCAGGAGCCCAAATTCAGGAGTGAAATTGCCACTTCTAGTCCCCTTATTTCCTATGGAAACAACGCCTTCCGCACCCCCAGCACCTGCTGTCCTCACTAAAGCTTCATCAGGATCGCCTGTCACCAGTGTGTACCGTACGCTTTGGTTCATTTGCTTACATTGTTGCTACAATGAACATCGTCTTCACTTTGCTGGTAACCACTTGATTTCCAACGGCTGCAGTCAACAAAAACCTGCTGATGACTTTTTTTAATGTAGTACAACAAGTGACAATTATGACAGGCTTATCTTGGAAGAGTTGTCATTTTTACTGCCAATTTTTTGGATGAAGATGTTTTTATAAATCTTTCAAAATAGTCTGCAAATCGAGCAGGAATTGCACAATTAACTCAATGCTGTGTGTTCTCAAGAAGCTCCCTTAGTGAAGGCCGATCTTAGGATGGCCAATGCCTGGGAAAGAAAACAAGCAAGTGTCCCAGCGTGCACCTCACCGTGACTTCTGGAGGACTCACATGGTCACTGACAACGAGAATACATTGTAGGACCTAGGGCGCCGTGTCCTCAGACTTACCCTGTCTTGCCCCACTCTTCCTGCTAACATCGAGGTGTGTGCAGTTACCTTTTGAGCTTGGAACAAGCAGACTGGAATTTTCCTCTGCTACCTCTTGTGTACAAAATCTTGTTTATAAAATTTCAAAAGGAAGTAGATAAACTAGGGAAGACTCTTAATTCTAAATTTGTTTCATGCGTGGCAGAATTCTTAGCTTCTAAGAGTATAAAATAAATTTTTCAAAAATGTAGAGTTGGAGTGGCCCAGACATTTTTTCTCCGTATATCCATACAGCCGTAGTGGGGTGGGGGCCGGCCTGGGCCTGGGCCTGTGGCCTGGTGCTGTGATTCCTTTTAATACCTTACACTAGCAAGGGGACTGTGAGTCTTCTCAGCCTTTTGCTATTCTCCACTCTGGGTAGTCTGACCATTTTAGGATCCATCTGCATAGCTTGGGCCAGGACGCTGAACTTGGGTTGATGGCCTACATTCACCTCCAAAGGTTTCAGCTCCCATGTTCCCTGGTCAAGCTGGGCTTCTTGCTAGACCCCACAGGTCTGTCTCATTCCTGGGTCCTGTGTTGCTCGTATGGGTCCCCTTCCCTGATTGCTAGTCCAGATCTTCCTCCTCCCGCAGGCCATGCCTCTTCCTCCCCAACTCCTGTGTCCACCTGCCAACCATCCGCAAGAACCACGTTGCTCCCTTCTCTCGAGTCACGGAGCTGTGGGGTGTGGGTATCTCAGCACTGACACTCGATCCTGTGGCACCTTGGGGACGGGAGGGGAGTCGGGTTGCACAACAGGCAGAGGTGCCAGTGTCACAGATACACAGTGCTGGCATTCCAGTCGTTACTATCTGTCAACTCTTCAACTCTTTCCATATGTGACACAAAATTGTCGGAAAGTATGTTTTGGGAGGATTTTTGCCTTTGCAGGCAGATCCCTTATCATTTATGCCATGGGCTATGTAGAGATGGACCCTGCTAAAGACAGCCGTGCTCACCAACCCCAGAGTGGGGATCTGGGGAGTCCCTCATTGGATGGAATAATTATGCTTTGCAAACTGGAAAGAGGCCTGAGACTGTTCTTAACTGCAGATCGTGGAAAACAATCACGGGCACAGCACCACTCATTGCAGAAGCATCTAAGCCTCCATATAACTAACTTACACCATAAACATTCACTCTGCACCAGGTCCTGTGCCAGGTACTAAGGAGAGAAGAATGAAAAGGGCATTGGGAGCTCAGAGCTCGGAGTGAGCGTGGGTAGCAGAGCATCTAGCATGTTATAGAGGACAGGGTGCCAAGGAGGAGGCACCTAACTGCTCTAGGGGGACAGGGAAGCTACAGGAAGACATTCATTTCACTCCTATGACAGGCACAAGGAAAGTCACATTACCAGTATTTGACAGTACCCGTCAAATACTTGTACTCAAGATACAAGTGCTCATCAAATAAAGTTGACCCTTGAACAACACGGGTTTGAATTGCAAAGGTTTGCTTGTATTTCGGATTTACAGGATGTGAAGAGGGCCAACTTTCCATATAGCCAACTGCTGGACTTGAGTACGTGCAGATTTTGGTAAACACGGTTCCTAGAACCAATCCCCTGAGTATACCAAGGGATGACTGTACTTGATTTTCTCAGCCATTCAATAAGCTTATCCAGTGTCTAGTATAAGCAAGGCATCACCGCAGGCAGTCAATCCAGGCAAGAGTCAGGAAAAAGGTTTTATTTTAAAAAGTCACCATATTAATAAAAATCCTACAAAACCCAGAATAAATATCTTCAAGTTACAAAAGCAAGTCTAGAAAAGCTTCTTGCTATAAAAAGACAACAGAAAGAACAGACCAAAAAGCTAGATGCATGCTTGTTTGCTTGGGTGGGGGCGGGGATGGTGCTCAGAGAGGGACAGTGCCCCCCACCATCCCTCACAGGCGTCTCCAGGCCACAGTGAATCGGGCCAGGGTAAGAACAGGGCAAGTGCCAGGCCCACAGGGCGCTGCAGCCAGGAGCAAGCAGGGCGAGGCGTCAGCTCGCTGTGCTTTCTCAGGTCTGCATTTCCCTTCCCAGCCTCCCTGTTACCCGTGAAAGTGGGTGCCCAGCCTCGTAAGATGAAATCAGGCTCGGTTCAGAGCCAGCCCGATCTGGGTTCCATCCTGGCACCATCTCCCTCCCCGCCTCTGGTTCCCGGTTTCTTCCTCAGTCAAGTGGGGTGCCCCCCTGTAGTGCGCGGGGTGGTGGAGAGAGCTAGGGGAGATGGCGTGTGCACCGTGTGGCCCTCCACGGCAAACCCGAGTCAGCCCCGGGTGACGGCGCCCTGCAGGGGCATCCTGGGCACTCGCAAACCTGGCCTAGAGCAGAGTCAAGGGAGCCGGGGAAACAAAGGCACAGCCCCATGACTACCTGGGACACGGCCTCCCCCGCTGCAGGCCAACCGGTGTGGAAAACTGATCCTCCATCAACCGGGAGCCCTGGGGGCTTCTCCGAAGTGAGCAGGAGGTGAGGGGCCACCAGCACTTTTCCCACTCACGTCCCCTGACGCCTGGCCCCCTTCAGCCCCCACGTTCCTCCTCGGCTGCTCATGGGGAGAAGACTGCCCCCCGTGGAGACGAGGACTGAACGCCTGGCACGCGGCAAGAGCTCAGTAACGGGCAGTCCTGCCCACAGGTGCAGGCACGCGGGGTGCGGCTGGCAGGAGCTGAGCATAGCTTATCCCGTTTGAGCAGTCGAAGGCCAGACACAGGCCCCACAGTGAGGGAGGGGGTCCGGGGGAGACACCAAGTTCTCCCAGGCAAGGAGCCCACCCCACCCAAGGGCCAGCACCAGGAAGCAGCTCCAGGAAGGTAGAGGTATCCCTGTCCCCTCCAGCCCAGGCCATGGAGGACCAAGGAAGGGGCAAGTAGGAACGTTGCAAAGCTCACTCCGGCCCTGGAAGCACAGTCCCAGCCCCTGAGCCCTCCCCAGGCACTGTCCAGGGATGGGGCTGTCACTGGAACTCCTGGGAGGCCTGCTCCAGGGGCCGGCTCTGGCAGCAGATGGCAACGGCTACCGTGGCCTCCTCGCTGGTCCCGCCCGCTGGGCCGACATCCTGGATCCTCACCACACATGTGTTGTCCACGGCATAGGCTCCCAGGACCTGGGTGGCCCCGGGAAGGGCACTACAGCCGGTCAGGGTCCAGCCCTCCTCACAGGCCACAGTGACCTGCAGAGCCCGGGAGGAGAAAAAAGCATGTGTCTAGCATGGTGTGGGCCAGGCCCTACCGCCTCCCAGCAAGCCTCTGAGGGTGCCAAAGCGCAGCCCTTGCCAGCAAGCCACTGAGCCACCAGGGCCACCGCCCACACCTCTGCCCCAGCAGTTCTGTAGCGTCACTGACCAAACCCACGAGCTCCTGCTTCACGCCCAGTCTTCAGGCGCGTGGGCACAGGCGCGTGTGTAACATGCCAATGCCAAGCCCATCGTCCCCGTAGAGCGCCACCCCCACCGCCTTCCCATCCCACTCAGCGGCAACTCCGGCTGCCCAGGGACTCCATGAAGCCTCGCAGCCATCTGCACACCTCTCGGCAGACACACCCACAGGCCGGAGGGCTGCTCCTTCAGGCCACTGCACCCGCCGCATCTCCCACCCCGGCCTGGGCCGCCGAGCCCCGCCCCTCCCGTCCCCGCTTCTGCCCGAGGCCGCTGCAGCCTCTCCTCAGCTCAGTGGTGGAGTGAGCTGTCCGAGCCCAGGGCAGACCAAGGCCCTCAGGCCCCACCTGACTGGGCCTGTTCCCTCTCTGCGTCGCCCCCCCACCCCTGCTCACTCCACTCCCACCTCACTGGCCTCCTGGCCACTCCTGGCGCCCCCGGGCACACCCCCACCACGGAGCCTTTGCTCCGGCTGGTCCCTCTGCCTGGAGCATCTTCCCTGTGGTGTCCTCATGGCCTTCCTGACCACCCCCCATTCCCTTCCTGGCTCTATTTTTCTCCATAGCAGCTTTTCAGCACTTCATAATTTACTTATTTTGTTCCCTGTCCTTCTCCCCCACTAGAATGGACGCTCCAGGAAGGCAGAGGAAGACGTTGGTGGGGCTGGTATCTGCCCAGCGCCTGGAACAGCACCTGGAACATGGCAGCCTTCGGTGCGCGCTGAGGGAGCGGACCTGAGCCTATCCTCGCCCTCGTGGAACGCAGCGCCCAGACCACAGTCACCACAGTCTTGCATGTTTAAAACCTGGTCTGCGTTCATTTAACAGTGGACTCCTTAGGGTCTCCCGTCAAGAAGCTCCCTACAGCTTTTAAAAAGGAGTCACAGAGCAACCGGTGGCTATATTGCACCTAGGTTTCGGGAAGGCCCCGCCCTCACACGCCAGGCCTTGGCACTGCCTCACCCTCCAGCAGGGCCCCTCCTTGCCTTGCTGCACTCAGCTCAGGTGCCCCCTCTCTGGGTCACGCTGAGTTGGCTCTGTCCTCAAAGTACAGCGGAGCTCCTTGCCCCAAGCAATCTCCCCGCAGATCTGTTAAATGGATCGATCAATAAATGCATGTGTATTGCATTTCTTTATGCTGTATCCATGCATATTCTCCCCCAAGGGGAGTGCGCTGCCCAGACAGCAAACTTTCCTGATCTGCAAACAAACAAAAACAGGCCCAGCCACACACCACACGCACACACGCACGCGCTGCCCACACAGTGGCAAAGCTGCCCACAGCATCTACCCCACAGACCACCACCCTGATGCGTGACGGTACAGCGGTGGCACAGACGCTGACAGCAAAGCTGCACAGGACAGACACATGCCACCCTGCAGCGGGCACCAGGCACCCACCCCACCCCGCACGCCTCTTCACCTGTTCCGCAGGGCCCGGGACCCCGTGCTCCTTGACTTTGCACTCCAGACCCGGCGCGTGGCAGCAGGAAGCATGGACGCTGGCCTCCTTGTGGCCCACACACTGGTCGAGCTGACCTCGTGGCCTCGGCACGGGTCGGCTGTGGGTGCCAAGGTCCTCCGCCTCCCAGTGGGAGCTGCAACCTGGGCCAGAGAAGGGCCAGTTCAGACAGTGGACTGCAGGGGACCCTCAGTCTCCACTCCCCATCCCACTGGACCCTATCTCTTAGGGTCTGAGGTGAGAGCTGGGAAACCCAGAAACAACTCAAGGTAGAAAAGAGACGCTGGCCTTAGCAACAGGACTCCTGGGTTCCCAGCCCAACTCTGCTGCTGACCTGCTGTGTGACGTTAGGAGAGCCATTCAACCTCTCTGAGCCTT